AGAGAGAGAGAGAGAGAGAGAGAGAGAGAGAGAGAGAGAGAGAGAGAGAGAAAGCAAGAGGACAGACTTTACCAGGCAGAGACTCGGGCATTTAGCTGAGTAAAGCTTTGTTTAACAGCCTGTCAGATATGATTTTGTGAAGCCATCCACTGTTAAATGGGGCTCTTGTTCGTTAATACACAACTTTTTAAGTGTTTGTTTACTGGGCTCAATTTAAGTTTGAAGCCTGTGCATAACAAGAATAAGCAAACAACACCCTGGGCAAAAAGTCTAGCTGTTTCTATTTAATAGCCAGCGCTTGCCACGGGGATTGCAGCGATGCGAGTGCATAAATTCAAATTAGTGCGAGAGCAGGGCTGGCGTGGTAGGTGCATGAGCCTTTGAGTGCATTCATTTCTGTGTTTTGACACTTGTTTTGTGCAGGCGCTTCGTGCAGCTGGAGTCTATTCATACACACCCAGGCTGACAGTTTATCACATGGCTGATGCACACAGACAGACACTTATGAGTCTATGTTTGGGTTATTCCATCTCAAATCATCAGGGGCCTCTCACTCGACCACTTCCTGCGTGCTTGAAACTTTTTTTTGATCATAGACTGTGCATAGTGTAGTCTATGTATAATTTTAGATTGATATATCAAATACTTTCAGGGTCAAAAAAACATGTCTGAAGCTGCCCATCACCCCAGCCTGAGCAAATTATTATTATATATTTTGCACAGATGCACAGATGGTGTCTGATAATCCAAAATAAGCTCGTTCGTATTTTTTCTTGGTTATGTTTGGAGAACTATTTTGAATCTTCAGAATTCTGTTGTACTTGGATCAAGCTATCTGTCAGTATTTTTGTTTTTGTGGTCGAATTTGTCATACCTGCACAAACAGTTAAGGAATTTCACTTTTCTTTTCACTTTTAAGAACAGAGTGACCTCCGTGTTTTGTTTTGTATTATTGTGACATGCAACTGCATATGGTTCAAAAAAATATCATGAAGTAGCTTCAATTACTGAATTTTTTTTGCTAATGTTTGCTCAAAGATGTGACTTTTCACGATGGCTTACATTTTTTCCCCCACATATCAGCGCTCTTGTAATCTGAAACTATTTGATCTACTTGTGGAATACTGCAGATTCTGAATTCATGACATGATGACAAATCTTAGTAAATATTTTGGGCTTTTATCTTTAATAGTTTCTGAGATATTATTGTTCAAACAAAGCCTCAAATTTAAATGCAAAAGAAATGTGCTCAAAGTGGGTAGAAGGGCCATTTTTTAAAAAACATATCACACTAAAAAAAATCACTGATATCTTTATAAAAATCAGTATTTCATGCTATAAAAATGCTATACAAATTAGACACGGTTAAGCAGAAATAGTTCTAAAAAAAATTTGATGATTTGAGATGGAATAACCGAAATACACAACCTTCATCTCTGCATCTTTCAACCTACAAGCCACTGAGTCAGTGTGCCATCCCAACTGTCAATGCACAGTTCAATATTACAAAGCTGCAATTTCTGTCTCTTCAAAGTTAACTGGTGGCTCCCAAAGTTTGGAATAAAATCCACAAATCCTTGCTGTCACTACAATCTTTGGGCTGATCAATCTGCATCGAGCTACCCGATCAAGTTTCCTGCCCAAGAAGCAAAGTAATGAGCTTCACTGTCGTTTTATGTCTTTCTCTTTCAGCATGTGGAAAGCAGTGGGGGTCAGTGCGTGGGATGCAGGTTCAGAGGCGAGGAAAGCTTAGCTCACTACTCTCCGTGGTCCTGTGGTACCATCGGCCCCTGCCTCAGCCCCTTTGAGCCTGAAACGCTCGCACACAACTCTGCTCACTCCTGCTCTGAGCACTCGGTGAGACTTCCACACACCCACAACCAGACACCAACACTAACAATACATCCGGAGTTGTTATTTCGTTTGCTAAAAGTGTCCGTGTGTTCCTCCTGCAGGAGCTGGACGGTAACGAAGGTGGAGGTGGCGGTGGCGTTAGCAGCGGTGGTGTTGGGAAGCGGTGGCTGCATTCGCTGGATCACTACCGGCGTTTAAAAGACGAGGACCCCATCATTCCCTTCAGTGAGGGGCCCATTATCTCTAAGTGGGGCGCTATTTCAAGGGCGTCTCGCACAGGCTACCACACCACCGACCCCGTGCAAGCCACGGCCTGCCAGGGCAGCGCCAGCACCACACCCATCAACTTCAAAGGTAAGGAGATGGTAAAAGAGGAGAAAGAGAGTTGATTGAAAAATGAAAGAAAGTTGACTGGAAGTGAAGCATGGAACCAGGCTGGAGAAAAGAGGCACAGAAGTAGCATCAACAAAGCTTGTTTCTTTCTTCTTTTTGTCATTGCACAGCAGTCTTGGATATCCTACCTTGTTATCTACCTGGGCTCAGGGTACAGTGTCAACCACACGACAGCACCCCTGGAGCAGAGAGCAGATAAAGTTCAGGGCTTTGCTCAGGGGCCCAACAGTGGCTTAAACATTCTGACCAATAGCACAAAGCCTTAACCTTAAAGATGTTTAAAGGACAAGCAAATGCCAAGAACAGTCCGCTGACAGACAGTTTTCAATATGTTGGCCTTAGCAACCAGTGCACACCCCAGATGGGACTCGAACCCACAATCCCTGGCTTAGGAGGCCAGTGCCTTATCCATTGGGCCACTGGGGCTTCACATACTGCAGAGTGGGATGACCTGGCTTTGGAGATCACATCAGTGGCATCTATTAACCCTTAAAAGTCCCACAGATGCGGTTCATGTCCAATTGCTCACAGAGTTTTAGTCAAAGCAGAGTAGTGCACATATCAAATAAAACTGCACAACTTGGCCTTTCCAATGATACCAGTTGTTTGTCTCTGCAATAAAGTGCTGCCAAGAAAAACTATTTTGAAATTACATTTAAATGTAATCATAGTTACAGCCTACATACAGCTCTGCATTTATTTCCATTACTGCTGTTTAAATTACACATGGACTCGTGATTGCAAAGATGAAGATTTAATTTTGTCAACAAAATGCAGTCTTTGCATGTGCTAGCTTTTCAGGAAGCTGGATGAGCAGTGGCAGGTTGGCAGTACTGGGGCTTGAACCCCCAACCTTCTGACCAGTAGCCCAAAGAATTAACCTTAAAGATGTTTTGAAGACAACCAGATGTTGAGGATGACCCATGGGCAAAGATATCAATATGTTGGTCTTTACAGACCAGTGTACACCCCAGATGGGACTCGAACCCACAATCCCTGGCTTAGGAGGCCAGTGCCTTATCCATTAGGCCACTGGGGCTTTAGGTCGTGCAACTTTGAATGGGATCACGTGCCTGAGCAGATTACACTGGGCTTATCTCTTAACCCTTTAGAGCCTCACGGTTGAAGTCAGTGCCCAAACTGACCTCCCTTCTTCTCGACTAAATTGCTCTACAAAGTTGTAATCTCAGTGAGGTGGTGCACATGTCAGATGAAGCTGCACAACTTGACCTTTCCAATGATGCAAGGTTTTTTGTCTCTGCACCAAAGTGTTGGCAAAAAAACAATTGTGAAACTACATTAATATCTGGTGACAGCAGCTACAGTGTCCATCTCCACAATCATTTATCTGGTTTTAGTGACACATGAACTCCTCACTGCAAAGATATGGGACACATATCACAAGAAAAACAAAACTAGAGCTTTTTAAGGAGGCTTGTTCATCCCAAAGCAATCACATTACAGAGATGGATCAAATTTCTGCAGAGTAATATTTCTACTTCTTCACTTATCACAAAGCTCCTATCATTTCATAATCAACCACATACCAAAATAAACAGGAGAACTCATCCTTTCCGACTGTTTCGCGGCAAAGCGCTGACGACTAATCTGGTTTGGAAATTACAGCAAATTTATGCATCGTCTCCAACATGAGGGCTGACGCTATATCTCACTTTACATGAAAAATAAACACAAGATAATGGGATTACTTTTTATTGCAGTTATTCAAAAAACAAGCAGCACAGGTTACTTGTTCCCACACAGGCTAAATAAAGCAGTTTATTTATTTCTGTTACAGTTCCCTAAGTCATACAGTATCCCATTGTCGCTGCTCTAATATTTCACACAAATATGAAAAATGATATCTACTGCCAGCATTTTATAGTGAGATACATGTTAAAACTGTTTGATAATATGCAATATTTTTTCCTTTATCTTAAAGTTAATGTAAAAAATCTGCATGAGTGATCTATGAAATGATGGACAATATGGGCAGTGTTCTGAGCTTAAAAGCAGGGACTAATAAGGTTAAATCGCCTTTAAAAATCCTTTAAAAAGTCTTTATGTGGTCTGTTGTCTTTGACTCTTACAGTTTATCTTTCACCATCTTTTAACTTGGATTAATTTGTTTTATTTAATCAGATTTTTATCCGTCATTTATCTGTGTTAGATGCAGAAACATCTAAAATATGATAAGGATGTTAAAATTCTAATTTTAATAGCATTATAGAGTAAATAAAGGTTTGATTATTTTTTTTCTTTGCTCCCTTTTCTTTCTTCTCTGGCAGATTACAACCCCCACTTGGATCACGGTGACTACAGGTGGAGCTCCAGAGGATCAGACTCTTCCAGCCACTCCAGTTTCCTAGAGAGGTACAACATGCACCTTCAAATTTTAAAATCTGTTTTTAGCAGCCGCATGTCTTACATGATACTGAACCGCCGCAAACAGAAAAATCAATACGTACATCAACACCGCTGAGCATCCTTGCTGTTTATCAATACGTACTGCTTTCAGATCTTCAAAGTCCCTCTCTGGGCAGCGATTAAAAAACTCACTCCTGTGTATCAAAACCACACATTTTCCACCAGAGTAATCCCTTCATGCCTTAACATGCCTTAGATGTAACTCTTACGTCAATACATTGCAGTTCCAAAGGGGAGAATGTTCAGCCATGATTCTGACTGCTTATTTCAATCAGGATGCATCTCGAAGCGTATAAAAAAAACACTATATGGAGATTTTGACAAGGTAAAAAGAACTGTTTTAATCGAAGGAGGTCTTTAGGTTCACAAACCTGCTATAAAACATTGTCAACATTATTCAGTGGTTTAAATTGCTCTCTGCCCCCCACACACACACCAACTCACTCTCACACACAAACACACGTTATTTCCTCTGAGTGGAAAGACTAAAAATAGAGATGCTGGCTGGTTTGGTAAAAGCCCACCGGGAAACCACAGAAACGAATCAGGAAAGCCCTCTGCACTCACATCCCTAATGCATCAAGCATTTTTAGCAAAATATAGATGCACGATTTGATGCTGTTGTGCTGTGTCCCATTAACACACAATGTCAGGTTTATTTTTATTTGTTTTATTCTATATTTATACTTACACAAAAGGTTTAAAAAAAAAAAAAAAGACTATAAAGTAATTGGCTGTTTGTGTTTGTTAACTCTTCAGTGAGCAGCTTTGTGCATCAGAGCTACACGTCCGACGAACGTCAATAAGCAGCGGTGAGAAAATTGTGTCTGATCTGCAAGCGCATCAGACCGCCTTCAGCCAGGATCGGGACCGGGCCGAGAGCGAACCGGACCCGGATCGAGACATCGAGCTTGAACTGTGCGCTCTGGACATGGAGGATTCAGACCACCAGGAGATCAAGTCTCAGGTGTGTACCAGTGTGTACGAGGTGCGTCAGAAAAGTTCCAGGACTGGTGTCACAAAAGATAGATTTCAAATCCAAACTTCAAGTTTTCCCCTTTGAAGTAATCCCCCTGGAGTGTAACGCACTTTCCCAGCCTTCTCGGCCACGCTGCCAAGGATTCCTCCGTCATCACAGTCATCTTGATGTCGTCCATGTCTTCAAAGCGGGTCCCCTTGATGACCCCCTTGAGCTTGGGGAAGAGGAAACAACCCCACGGAGCCAGGTGGGGTGAGTAGGGAGGTTGCTCCAGCACAGAGATGTTCTTCTCAGCCAGGAACTGTGGGATGTTCAGGGCGTTGTGAGCACGTTGTCATGGTGAAGCAGCCACCACTTGTCCTGCCACAACTCTCGCCTCTTCTCTGAACGAAGCAAAAACCGCAGGATGTCTTTGTAGACGTATAAAGCAGACTTAATATATCTTTTGTGACACCAGTCCTGAAACTTTTCTGATACACCTTGCACATATTCCTCGTTAGTATAGTGGACAGTATCTCCACCTGGGGTTCGATTCCCTGATGGGGAGTAGTGACTTTCTTTCAACAATTTCCCTGAGGTACCCCACCAAAGGGATCAATAAAGTTCTATCTAATCTATAGATCAGTCAACAGTGATGGAACATATGAAAAAAAACAGATTTTTTTCTAAAGAGAGGTTTTAAAGCTCCAATTTCTGAAATGTGGACACTCTTAGAAGTACGACCAAACCTCTTATCACCTCTCTTGTTGTCATGTTTGCTTCACAGGAGTCTTTAGATCTGGCCGCCCCACAGTCTCAGGATGCTTCCCACCTCCTCCCACCTCCCCGCTCGTCCCCCCTCCTCTCCTCCCCTGTAGAGGAGCACTCCCAAACAGAGGGTCTCTCAACAGAAAAGATGGATGCTCACCTGTTGAAAAAGATGGCCTTCAGGTGAATTACCATGGTAACTGCTGTTCACAGGAACGCCCTCACTCTGCCTTTGTCCTCAGCGACGCATCGGGTTGCTGAGCAAATGGTCTCTGGACGCTCTGTTTTCTTACGCTTTTTTCTTCCATCCTTCGTCTACTTTCCAGGAAGTCTCTGTCTCCTGGAGGGTTGGTCTCAGGAGGTCTGGGCATCGGGAAGCTGGTGCTGCGTACCGGACCCCCTCGGCTGGGCGACGCCTCCGCCCGGGCCCGTCCAGAAACACCCGGGACGGAGATGCTCCTCAACGGAAGCTAAAGGGGGCACAAAGTCAGACACTGACCCGCACCGAGCCACAGCCGAGTCACGTGCCCACAGCCAGACCCCGGTCAAAGGGAAAACCATTTAATTCCAGCCTTCATATATGTCAATCATATGCCTAAATAAAACTTGACACATGTAGATCAACAGTCTGCGCTGCGCCACACGGCAAGGGGCGTAAGAAAAACCGCACTGTCCTGCCCTTGATAGGTGTTCGTCACCGGTGTGTAGCTCCACAGAGGATTGAGTGATATCATTGTTGGTGGCTAATGAGGTACACGACCAGTTTTCTCTAATGATAGATGCTGAACTTGTCCATGTTTGCAGTTTCAACCTTGGTCACATTTAGTGGAAGAATTAGAGAACTCAGTATCTTCACCATCTGATTGAAAGGCCTTTTTTTTTTCTCCCCAAGTCTTATATCTTAATATAATAAGTCCGTTTTCTTTGTAGCCCCCAACTAACAGCCAAAACTGAGATTCTTTCCCCCCCATTACTGAATATGGGGACATAAATGGTAGATCCCAGTAAATGGTTTGTTTCTTTACATCTATTCTACACATGTAATGTTTTTAGATATACAATAGATTTCTGTGTTGCTTTTTAGCTTGTGCCTTGGAAAAAAAAAAGAAAGAAGGTGTTTCCATCCAAGCAGGCGCCAGTTTATAGTCTCAAAACAGTGGAATTATTTACCCCCTTTTAAATATACTGCCCCCTTACGATTATAGCTGATATGTCTGTTAACATGTAACCGCAGAACAAACGCCTTCTCTGAGCAGCCTTATGTGGCCGTGACTTCATCCAGCGTGATGCCACTGGTTTTACTGTAGAGCCTTTGTTGACATTTCATTTCATAAGTATTCCCCGGCGAGATCGAGAAGTAGATGCTCCTGGTAGAACTGAGACCAAACATGGGCACTACATGCCTCCGACAAAGTGAAAAGAACCGATAGAGAGAGTCTCGAATGTGCCGATAGTGAAACGAGCCTCTGTGCTTTATGAGTCACATGATCTTTTAAATGTTGACCTCTGGATTCCGTCGACCGTCACGGGATCGCAGGAGACAATAACGCAGTCATAAACCGGATTTGTAAACGTTCATTGATCACTAGAGGTCAGTTTTGTACCTTATTTTTTAGAATACCTTCAACATCTGCTCTTGGTCTTCATACCTAAAGAATATAAAAGCAGTGTTTTCAGCTGCAGGTGGAAATAACTTCTCGATTAACTCACAATCAGTCTTAAAAAAAAAAAGGTTTGTTTCCTCTTTGTGTGCCTGTAGTGTTGACTAATCCTGACACACATTCACACGCAGTTGACACAGAATCGGTGGCCTTTCTCTGCTTGTATGAAAACAAAACTAAACATTGGGCTCTACGGTGACTTCTCTCCTGCCAGAGATCATAACACGTAAATCTCAAAACTGAACGCTGGAAATCACATTTTTGTAATCCTATGGCCTCCGCTGTCACATTTATGTGCGATGCGATCGATATTAACAGGCCGCGCATGATGCTTAAAGGCTACAACAGAGAGAGACGCCACTTCTTTATGTTTCTTCATGCTTTGTTTGACTTTGTGAAAAGTTTTGGTTCGTTTTATTTTACGCATCGCTAACTTCTGTGAAGTTGTCCGTTGGGGTATTTTGTATCAGGATCTTTGTTACTCTTGTTTTTGTTGTGTAACAGTGTTTTGCTGGCCGTCAGATGTGCTGTCATCAGAACTCCACCAAAGTCTCCGTCACTTTAGTGTTGTTTGATATGGGCGATTTCCACATCGTGTGCCGCGCCTCGCTCCTTTTTATAGACACGAGGCGTCTTATCATGTGTGACTTAGTAACTTTAATAAAATATCCACCCATCTTTAGATATACGGGATCTAACGTCAAGAAGACTCCTTTAAGTTTGTTTACACCTAATTCTGAATCTAATGAGATTTGTGTAGAAGGAGAAGAGGAGGGCAAACTAATCTTTGAATCTTTCAAGCTCCCTCTGTAATTTCCTCTCATCTCTGCTACTGAAAAAAACCCCTGAGAGGGAAACATCAGTGTTTTTCCTCTTAGATTATACATTAAAAAACCCGCTTTTACAGGGTAGAAGAATGGCTGTATTGAGTTTTAAGTTAAAACTTTTTAACCAGAATTAGTTACCAGGGGGTTTTCCTCTTTATCTTCCACCCAACTGCTCAAAAAACATGGGTAGAGAAACTGGAGAATTGGATATTTCATTGTAACTTGATGTGACAGTGCTCTTTTTAAAACAAAGAAAAAAAAGGTTTTGTAGGGTCAATTTCCGACTGTAAAAAGCAAAAAGGCAAGGGCTGGCGCAGGGATTTAGCAGTTATTAACTTAGCTCAGCTACCTACTGTCACTCTGCATCTGTTTACAACTTCACCTCTGAAGTCATGTAAGTGCCATGTCGTGTACAGTACAATCAATCCCTGCAGATTTTCCTACAGCTTTTTTCACATTCCTCACCTGGAAACCACGTGAGGAGGGAGACGCTCGGTGAAGTCGAGGAGTGGGACACTTCTCTTGTAGTTCTGCTTTGTTCCATTAGAGGAGGCTAGATCCTTGTCTGTTTTTGAATCGCTCAGGGAAGACTTAATTTGCTCAGCTGCTTTGGCTTTTTTTCTATATCCATCCCTTGGAAATATTCTGTGGAAGTATTTACCTGCTGATAACTGACCCTTTCACCCCAGACGGGCTCGAGTGTTAACACTGACTCTTTTATTTGCCAATGTTCACTTTGTTCTCTTTTTGCCTCTCGGTATCAGTATTGGCTTTTGCTATTTGTGTTCTCATGAGAAAGGGCTGGGCACTACTGTATGTTAAAAAACAGTATTGTGAGTATTGAACTAATGTCAAAGTGATACTCCCTGTTTCCTTTAAAGTGTCTGTAGAGCACTGCTGTGGTGGCTAATTGCACTGCACTGATTCCCGCCCACCCCCTCATCACTGCCAGTGCCCTCCCCCCACTCCCCCCCCCCCTCACCTCCACCACCTCCGTCCTCCCTGCATCCTGCGTCCATGCATGCGATATAGTCCCTCTTGTGATGGCGGAGGAGTAATGACAATTCTGTAGTTGTGATACAACACACCCAGCGCTGTAAGAGTTCTGCACATGCCCACTGTGTGGCCACGTCAAGTGCTGAAGTTTGCTTGCAGCATTTTTAATTGCTTGCTCATGACAATTAATTATTGTTTGATAGAGATTATATGATTATTACTATTATTGTTATAACCACATTTGGTTGTCGTTGTGGTATTTTTTCCCTTCTTGATATATTCTACAAGTCTGCTTCTTTGTTTTGAGAGTTTGCTGAAACTGTTGGAAATTTTTTTATTAGACAAGAAAAGTGTCTCATTATTCTATATTGTATGGAAAAACAAGCCTGTTTGTTGATTGTGAAACATGATGAACTGATGTTTTCTGACTATTCATGTCTGTATTAGACATTTTATTTGCGAATCTATTGTTCGATTGAAATGTAAATGAACTATTAAGAGATGGTACACATCCGTCATTGTATACAGTCTGGCACCATCATTAGATGGACTTATAGTATAGACGCTCATTTATACAACCTGTGATAATCAGATATATTTAAATGTTTAAATCATTGGGGCAGCTGTGTAATGTTTCAGAATGAGGAAAATACAATCCTTAAGAGACAGCATATCGAAAATGTCCCCAAAATGAATAATACTGTTACGTATTCCATTTATTTCCTTGGAAATATCACATTGTGAAAGGTTTCCCTTTTACTTACTGTACGGTGATGCAGGACTGGAGTTAAGTCTAACCTATGGTGATGATGATTTATGTGCTATTAATAATTGATGAAACTGTTTGAGTTTTGTTTCATTGACTGATTCTTCTGTGCATTTTCTGGCTTGTTCAACTGTATCCCACTGACCTACGGACAGATCGGACGAGCGGCAAACTGCTTCTGAGTTATGAGGAGGAAGGTTTCAGCACATGAAATTGCATGCTATAATAAACCGACAACAGTACTGTCTGCGATTCCTGTCTTCATTTGTGAACACCATATTATGACAGATATTATTACACAACACAACCAATTATTCGCCTTGAACCGACTCTTAGGAATACTAATAAACGTCTCTTTTTTTAGATTGATGTTTATGGGCCACAGTGTTTCAACAAACAATTAAGACATTACATCCATCACTATTACATATCCGTCCCTGTAGGGCTGTTGCAGCGGAGCCTTCAAACCTCATCAGGCAAACAAAAGGATGTAATGAAACTCAAGGGGGCGCTAGAAATCTCCCGGAAAGTATGCGAGTGGGAACAGCAACGGGAGGTGTTACAGTAAACTGTCCTTCAGGAATCTGTTAACACCAAACAAGCTGTTGCGAGCGTGCATGTGAGCAGCCCCGTCTCATGTTTCGTGGTGTTAAAATGCAGAAGCGCTTGGCGTAACCTGGCAGTGTCTCTTATGAAACGGCAAGGCCAGACAGGCTGGACAGGAAGGGCCAGCATGACCGCCACACAATGAGCAGAGTGGGAGTGTTTGTCACTGCTGACTGCTGCGGTTTGGTGGCTGATTCAAAGGCATAGCTGGTGGATTAATAAGAGCCTGCCCTCCCCTTCACTTTATCACTCAAGATCTGCTGTAAACAAACGGGTGCCATCCCTGCCAAACGACTGCGTAACACTAAGGAATGATGTGGGTTTTACATTTGATTAACTTGAACTGCTGAACAACACCTTTTTTAATGATGGTTGTGTGTATATAATCTTGTTTAAAGACGGAGCTGTAAAGAAGATAGTAGAAAAATTAACTGACTGAGACGGAAAGCTTTACATTGAGGATTATTGCTGCCGTGGAATTGTCAGTGGAAACATTTTGTGCCTGATGATAGATTTTATGCTTAACTGGCAAATTAAGGGAAGGAAGTAAAGATGAAGGTGATAAAAGAAAATTATAATTACACTAAGTAAATGATTCTAGTAATTTATTGTTGAGGCTAGAAGTGATTTAAATAGCTATGGTAAAATAATAGGTACAAGATGTGTTTTCATCTCACTAAAGAAAAGAATAAATCAACAGTGGAGCAAAACTTAAAATAATCAATTCCCTGGTAATTGTTTGACTTTCTGAGGCCACTCATCGGCTGAAAATCCCCAAATCAGTCAAAATCTAAAATAATCTTGACTTGAGCATGTAGAGATATAGACTAGATACTCATAAGTGAAAGCTTGAGACTTGACTTCTTTCATTTTTCATTTTCACTAAAGAGAAAAACATTAAAATGTCAAGTTTTGACCAACTACAATCCAACAATAAGGCAACAGGTAGGCCTTGCACAACAGCTCACCTTGCACATAATTCTTTATGTGACTTGCCTTCAGCAGTAATGCAATAAACCAAATTACACACCTTAAAGACATTCAAATATGGCATTCAGTAGCAAGCATGCATTCAGACACTTGCAAGACTCGCACCTGACCTGTAATTTACCAGTGAAGAGCATTGACTTGGCCCCGCGGACTGGAGACCTGCGCAGACAAATTTTGAGGCTTGAGACTCAGACTTATTTAAGGTGAGACGTGACTTGGGATCTGACTTGGACTTGACCCTACAGACCTACAGACAGCTGTGAGTCATGTTATTTAGTTCAGGCCAACGCCTCCCCTCACTCTGCACAGAGCAGAGCAGCACTGACAGGCGCATGCGCAGTGCCGTTGTCAGCGGGTTGGTTGGGCTTGTGTTTACAGCTCGGCTGGATGCTGTTGGCTGCTGATGTTACTGGGAAAGTGCAATGTTGTGCCAACCGCCAGTGGAATAAATATAACCGTGGGAATACAGGTAAGCCGTTTCGCACTTGCACACGCGTCTATGCTCAAAGTTAAATGCGGCTGTCCCCTCAGTTACGAAGACAAATAGCTGTTTGTTGGTTCCAACTGCCAGGTTAGCATGGCTAGCAGGCGTTAGCTAACAAGCCATAATACAGTAATGGCCTGCATCAAGGCTGTGTCCACGGCGGAGCAGTCAGCGGGTTTATTCACCAAATGACTGCCAACACCTTCACATGGCAGTTTGCATCAATTGCTTCACGGTCACGGAGTATTTTGGCCACATGGTCAATGTGTAGTTGGGCATTTTGGTCGGACTTTGAATCGATGACTGCTGTAGCTATCTTAGCTAACATTGGGCAGGTTGGTGAGGGCTAACTGGGGCAATAAGTTAACACTAGAGCTAGCTAGGCTCGCCCAACGTTATCGAGCACAAACTGATCGGTTTTAGTTCAGTTATCTGCTGCAGACTGGTGGTGTTTGAAAGGCCCCGTGCGATTTAACAGGCTGCACTGACAGGTAGCAGGGTTGCTGGTACCCAGATTAAGTGGTGTACCCGGTAGTCCAGAGAGCTAGTTACTGTGCATGCAACCAACATAACAGAATAACTGCAGATTCTCAAGCAGCACATATTTTGTTTGTCCTGTTTTATTTGTCACATTTGGAATTACTGGACGCTTGGGTTGTGGAATATTTGCTTGTATAGTGATACTTAACAGTAGACTAATTCATCCACTGTGCTTCTCTTGTAGTAACATGGACACTTAATTGATGTAATACACTGATGAGCATGTAGTACCTGAAATTACAACAGATGAGTCAGTAGCTTCACAAGAACATTAGTGGGGATTATAATGTGGTTTAGGCTGCTTCAACTGATTTGTTGGGTTTTTTTCTTTGTCATTTGATTGTTATGTTAAGCCCATGTTGACACGTGGAGTTTACTTTTTGATCTGAGTTATTCTTGAGCCAAGAATTCTGTCACAATTATTTTTTTGTTGCTGTTAGCCAAAGTACAGTTAGTGTCACATGATAAGGGGAAGATGAGCAAGGATTCCTTTGAACAGTCTGTCTGGTGGTTTGAATGTGAGTCTGAATTAAGTTTATTTGTTGAACGAACCCCATCGGATCATTCGACTAGTCCTCCAGCAAGCCACACAAAACCTCCTTAAATTGTTATTAATCAGTGTTCATGTACAAACTAACTGTGTATAGAGGATTATTAATAACATTACCTTAATCTTTATGTTCCTCTTAAAGAACTTTGTGCCCACACATGATCTACACAGTGAGTGTTTTTAAATTAACGTCTCTGATTCTGATTTCAACATATCTGAAGGATGTGGCATTCAGCAGCGTTCCTAAAAGAATCTAAGTCCTGTTCTGTGTTTTGGTGTTACCATTGCACAACTCTGTCAGTCAGTCGATGATTTGTTGAGGAAAAGTTATGGTCCACATTTCCCTTTGGCGTGGACGATAACCTGATCCAATATTCAGCTTTTTTCAGATTTTTTTAACTGATTCTGGTTAAAATAAATGAATTTAAAAGTGCGCTAGTTTGCCTCTGATTGGTCAGTTTGATTGGTTACATGTCACAAACCAGAGCCTGTCAACACTGAAGGACAAATGTTGAAAGTTCTCTTTTAATTTAACATGTGTAAAATAAAAGCCTTAAAAAAGGAAAAGCTTGACATTTAAGTTTGAGTTATTCTAAATTTTAAAGCCAAGATTTTCATTTACTGTAAGTGCATATCTGTTCCAAATATCAGTTATCCACTTCCTTGATACGAACAATCGGTATCAGCCATAAAAAAAACATTTCAGTCGTTCCTGACTTAATACCCAGGGGTTATTGTCGTGGCTAAAAATAGGATTGTAGAAACCAGTTGTCTTGTCTCTGTGTAAGCCTGAATAGTTCTCATCAGTGGATAACGTGAATGGCGACTGTGAGACAAATGTGCCAACTGCCGCATACGTCCAGTCAGCTGTTTGTTCCTGTTCAGTTTCCTGAAACTCCGGTATTATACAGTCTCATTTTCAGATAATGCACCTGTGCACATACACAAAAAATAGTAAACCCACATTAGTCTATGTGCAAATATTTGCTGTAATAACATTAATCAGTAAATATATTAGAAGAGAGGGAAGACCAGTTTTTCTCTGTTAAGCAATTTCTAACAGTTCTTTTATTTTTTGTTTTACCATTTGAATTATTTGATAGATAAGAAAGGTCTGGGGCTGCAAGGTGGATCGGTGGTTAGCACTGTTGCCTCGCAGCAAGAACGTTGCCCCAGGACACCTGGGATCTTTCTGCATGGACTTTGCATGTTCTCCCCGTGCCGCGTGGGTTCTCTCCGGGTTCTCTGGCTTCCTCCCACAAGATCCAAAAACACGTTAAGGTTAATTGGTGATTCTAAATTGTCCGTAGGTGTGAATGTGAGTGTGCTTGGTTGTCTGTCTCTAAGTGTAGCCCTGTGATAGACTGGTTACCTGTCCAGGTGAACCTGCCTTCACCCTTAGTCAGCTGGGATAGACTCCAGCCCCCCGTGACTCTAGTGAGGATTAGGCGGTGTATAGATAATGGGTGGATGGATAAGAAAGATCTGATTATCTTTTGGTTTTTAGATTTCAAGATTTGACGAATCAGTGATATTTCAGTTGTCAGTTTAGATGCTTCCTTACCAACTGTAGTGGCAAACACTGTGTTCATGAATTCTGTATGTTTGTCGGAGCAGAAATCTTCACTTCCCCTTATAATCACACTGTGTGCATGCTACTACATGCCACAGTCAGTTCTGTGTAAAGATGCAGCTAATGATTATTTGCTTCTTGAGGATTCAGTTACATGAGACAAACATCACTGATGCATTGAACACTTTTGGACTTTCAAGGGTGCCATCATCATGCATGTTTTAAAAATACACGCAGTATCACATTGAACACAGACAGAGCAGAAATTAAACGTTACTTTTCTAACTCATCTGCACTGTTTGTGTTGAGAGGACATCAGCCTGATATCTGCAGACAGCTGGCTAGCCAGCGTTAGAAACCCGGCAGGGACAGGCTGAATAAATTAGAATCCCCACGCTGTTCAGTGGAGTTTGACGCCTTCATACCTTGTAGCTACAGACAACATCTCATCAACAAACACATATCGAGACCTCAGATACAGATTTTTTTTATTCAGTCTTTGCTTCTGGCTGGTACACATTTTCGACATCATGGATCCCTAACTGAACCACTTACAACAGTTCTCTATGGGAGAGCCACTTTTAAATTTCAATACTGAAAACTACAGAAGGTGTGCAACCAGGAAATGAGACTCTAAGTAAATGTATTTCCGCTGTTCATCTTGTATGGCTTGTATCTCACTCCTTTTACATTGACCACCTGCAGTCTTGGTTTTGATTTTCAGCTGCTACATGCTTTAGCTCCTCATTGTTTCCTTTGCAACTTTGTTTGAATAGAAGTAGATCCATTTTTACTTTTCATGTGCTGCATGATGGTTAGATTCCCTTCCCTAGATAGCATCAGACCTTGCTCAACCAAACTAATAATGCATTAAATGTCCTCCCAGTTGATTTATTGGTATTATTTAGAGATATAATAATCCCCAAATACATGTGGAAAGGTTGCATGCCAATTACTTTATCTAATATTAAATTACCTTATACTATTTATTTACTTCTCCAGCAACACTTCTGTCATTGTGGTGCTTCAGAGGCCTGATGAAACTGGCAAACCTGTGGGGTTATAACATGTCTTGTAGCCTGTACTACCATCTTGTGCGTGAGAAGTGTAGGTGTTTTGAGTATTTTAGGAGTTATGTGTCTCCTGCCTGGATTATCATATTTGTTTTCCTGCCACGTGAACCACTGATTAAAGTTTGACATTGTGCTTAAGGTATTTCACTGACCTTCCAGACTTTTGGCAAGTAACCACCCCATACACATAATACTTAGCACAGATGTAACGCCCTTCCTGAGAAGTTTAGGAGTCAGTATTCCGATTTTCAAATGCAGGTTTTGATTATTTTTTAAACTCCAGGCCCAGTAACCTAATATCAGTGACTCAGGCTGCTTTCAGTTCTGTTTTGTGAAGGTGCATGCTTTCACACACATGTCAAGTTTCCTCTGCTCTTTATAAACCAGCTGAGATACACCAGCACCTAAATAAATATCCGTGAATAGCTGCAAAATGGCCGCAGCTCTAAATCGCAGTGAATGAGTTTGTTGCAGCTCGTGCCCCACTTCAGAAGTTAACGGCAGGGCCGCGCAGCGTGATTGAGTTTGTTTTGTTTTTTTTCTTCTCGGTCATGTGAGATTGTTTTGTTGTAGAGGCTTCATTCCTGGATAGCCGAGCAGGAGCATCTTGGATCTGAGTTGAGATCATTATCAGAGGCTGACACAGTAGAAATAAGATGTAAAAAATTAGGGACTGTATGAATTCATGACGTGCTCATTCAGGGATGCTCTTTTTGTTCATGTTGCATTTGACTCACCTTGCACTAGTTCAGGTTGTCTTTCATTTCTTCCCTTTTTCCTCCCTGACTCTCCTTTTCTCTCTGCTATCCCTGCCTGACTGAAATGACTGCTGCGAGGCTGGGTCGAAAGGGACTGTGTTGCAAGCCTGAATGCTCTCTGGCTGTGTCTGGCTGTGTCTTCCTCTCCCTTGTGAGGTGCACACAGGGCCCAGCTGGCAGCCCAGAACAGCCCGTTCAGCTGGAGAGTGGTAGGGAGCAAAACAAAATGAAGCGAAAAATGAAAGGCAGGCACGGCTTTTCAGTGTGCACATTTTTACACGTGCAGATAATTACAATTACAAATACTGCACCTCTGTCTGTGACTGTGAGGCTGCTCTGGTCAGTCGTCTGTTCCCAGAATTAAACCGGACACTGAGTGAGACATTGCAGGTCGCACCCAGATTACACCAACTAACCGCCGTCATCGCTTCACTGTTAAACAGCCAAGATGGTAACGCTGGAGTCCTTGTTTATTAAGTCCTTCTTTATTC